AATTAGAAACTCAAATTACTGAAATTGACAAGTTAGAATATAAAATAAGGTCTTTTTTTTCAATTTGCTAAGATATTGCTCATGTAATAAATCAAAAAGAGGCACCCCCACCCACCTCTTTCCATTTTTGGAAACATTCCCTTACATACACTTACTTCTATATATGACATGAATAACCAATCGGAAACTCAGAATGTCTCCATAGTAGCTTTCTCAGCCATTTTAAATCCTTAGGATGCCATTTCTTTCTTTTGAACCAAGATTTCAAGCAGGTAGAGTGTTTCTTTAGTTTGCTTGAAATTTCATATTTTTTTTAGACTAAAATACATCTTAGTTACTAAGCGTGATAAATTATAGTGGAATTCTGTGGTATAGATGTAGTAATTTATGATTTTTTAGTTATTCAAATGTATATATTAAAACCTAAAAAAAATTATTTTGTTTCTTATCCTCCATGTGCAAAATTTTTAAAAGCTTAGCAACCTACGTCAAGCAGCAACCGAGTACAAATGTTGTTCTTTATTTACTATGTTTTATGAAAAATAAGTTTAAGAATTTATTTCAAAATAGCAATAATCTATATACATATATAATAATTGAAATGTGACTGTATTTTACAAAATACTACTCTACTAAACACAGCCAAGACAAGTTGCTTTGTACAGACCAAAGGTTAGTTTTATGTTATTTGAATGCACGTGAGCCGCATCATTGTAACTTCTGTATTGTTAGCAATGCACGGCTGAAAGGTCATTATATTAAAAATAATAAATATATATAAATGTATAATGTTATAAGATTTATGCTATTTATTCTAAACATTTATATTTTCATTTATAATTTGTGTTCATTCTAGAATGAAAGAGGGATAATTTATATATTTCCTAATTTTTTAAGGTGGTTTCGAGATTGTTCAAATCTACCGAACCCATACAGAGATTAATTACTGAAAAATAACAGACAAAATATATAATTTTTTCTTAATAAATGATTGATAACTATCTGGACATTATAAAGATTTTGCATGTAAAATTTGAAAATTTTCTGATGCATAAAAGTATTTTTAATCTTAAAATGAAAATTACTTTGCATCATAGATAGGCAAAGTTGACTATACAAAAAAAAGGCATGAGAAAAACATTGCTTTAAAAACCTTAAGACAATAAAAAAATTTGATATTTTGCATATGAAAGCATTGTAATGTTTATTAATAATCTGCAAACTTTTGTTAACATTTGCTTACTAATTTAAAAGTTATAGGTGAATACTATAACAAGCACATTTCCATTTTGTTGTTAATCAATACATATATATATTTGAAATAATAGCAACAAAAATCTTGTAAAGTAAATGTTAAATGTATTTTTGGTTTTGGCTAGATTGTCAAAACAAATTTGACAACATAAAATGTACTTAAGAATACATTACAGAAAACAAGACTGAAATTTGCAAAACAAAATACTGTATCTTGACAAGTCATTCAAATACAGGAATAATTAAAAACTGTGATTCTTTAAACACAAAATAAACTTAGCCAATAAGAAATGACTGAAATATCAATATAAATATTTCCTGCTTTTCAGTTGTAGAAAAATACTAAGTTGTATTCTTTACACTTACTCATATGTAGAAGTTAATTCTTCTTGCACGGTTCGTGTGTGTAGCTTTCCTTCTCTCTTCTGTGATAAGAAAATAACATCACTTAGTTCTATACCAAATCTTTATATTAGTTCCACTTTTAAATGGTTCTTCTAAAAACAGGGGAATAGTGGCTTGTTTGAGTTCTTAAATTGTTTATATATCACAGCTTAATAACGATAGTAAATTTTTTTATACCAGACTACCAATAATTTTACATAAAATTATATGCAAATATTATCAGTTATGATATTGGAAAACAAATATACTAGATTTCATCTGGTAGCAGAATTGCTCACAACATAAAAAAATACATGAAGTATGTAACATCATTTATAAGTTTCATAAATTATTTACAAAAATAAATCAAACAATAAAAAAATACCAAACTAGTCTTTAAACTTTAACAACTAATTTAATATGTTACATTGCTTCAAGATACGTCATAACAGCCAATGTCTAATATTAAAGAAATTGGCCTCTACAGGATTATACACAGCTCTTAACACTTTTGAGATAAAACTGTTAAGTTGTAAAACAATTATATGAGAGTTTCACTCATACAAACAATTCCCCTCTTTAAATCCTTGTTCAAGTCCTATAGTTAGTATATTTGACATGCCACTGAACATGACAACAGCTGTTACCAAAATGTTTGACCCATGGCTATTTATGAACGTTTTCTTTTTGAACAGCATTTTCATATTTTAACTAACTTGAAAATTGGTTTATTGCACTATCTTACTTGAATCTGACACTTACATCGATTATATATTAGTATAAGATATAAAAAACGCATTAAGAAAATTGTTGATGTGCTTTTAAAATCACGGATCACTTTTTCAGAGTAATGTCTATGAACAGAAAGAACTAGATACAAAAGTAATTGAAATTTGAGCAAATCTGAAGGAAACAAGGCACTGTATATTGTTTTGAATTAAAATATGCATATTTATGCTAATGTGAAAATTGAGTTTAGTATCAAAATATATTGAGGGGGCTACAATAATTACTGTGGCCCCATAATAGAGAAACTGTACTAATAACATAAATAAATTAAATATGCATAGTAGAAAGAAAAACAAACAGATGAGAAAGTGTTGGATTTCAAGTTTAACACTTAATATAAATAAATAAAAATATTGAAATAATAATGAAGTAAGTATATATCATGATTACCTGAACAACAACCACATTCACCATTACATTTTCAGGAAGCCTAATGGGGGCCCTGAAATGACGAGCCAAAGCAACGAGTAGATGAAGAATGGAAATTACATTCTTAGAATGGATACCTAAAGAATAAGTAAAAATTGAAATGTTCCATTATTTCACCTCCTAACTTTCTAGATATGCATGAAAATTTTATTTCATAGTTAATAAAAAAAAGTACTCTTTCTTAAACAAACAGTATGAGCATAACTGTTCTACATCTTTATCATTTACAGACAAAATAAACAGTTTGAAACAAGCTTAGTGTTACACAGCTACAACACTTCTCAAACTACCTCTAGGTGTGATCAACCAAAATTTAATAGTTATAAGTACAATGTGAAATCAATTTCCAGTTTCTGTAAATCTTTTTTTCTTCTTCTGATTTTTGATATATGTAATACTTCATTGTTTCAATTTCAACTGAAGGGTATATCCTAAATAAATTTTGTTATTATTATGAACAACTACTTGTTGTCACATCACACATTCATGACCTTTACATAAGTTATATTTTCTCTTGTATAGTTAAACCTAAGTTCAAACACACCTTATTCTAAATAATGAATAAACCAAAAGTATTACTTTGTAAACCACTGAATTTACGAAATTGGAACAAACTTCAAATCATCACAAATAATGAACAGAGTAAATGTCACTGTCGAAAATATGACAAATTTTATTTACGTACTTGTATTTCAATCAATACATAAACTGGAAATAACTAAATGGACACCCCCCTGAAATGGAAAGAAAATCAGGGCATTGCAATTTTACCATGGTCTGGCCAATGACCAAACATAGAACACCACTGAGTCTATCTTTGACTGATCCTTGCGAAAGCAATCTAGTAAACCCACTTCCTAGGACTTCCTAATACACATGCAGTCTAATACACAGAAGTAGGCTGCAATCTCAAAGACTAAGACTGATGATCATGTTCATATAATGCATAAGCATATTGCTGCCCTGCATATGGCAAAGGGAAGTATCACAAACTATTAACCCTACACCTAGTACTACATACAGGTTCAGAATAAACTGGTGTTCTTTCAAATTTGGGCATCTCTTTATTTATGTCAAACATCTGTACACACCTTATTTTGTATTTATTTACAAAAAGAAAAAAAGTAACACTAAACTCATTTTTATTTTCAATAACGTGTTGGTTCAGAATTTGTCTAGGTTTTTCAATGAGACAGATAACATTTGCTAAGATGATCAGTACAATGTTCAATGAAACACTATGTACTCTTTTTACAATGAAAATTAAATAAACTATAAATATGAAAATTTATATAGAAACTTTGCTTAATGACCAGTTTAAATACTTCTAACTTTATGCATACGAATTACAAGTATACCCCAGGTTAAAAGTTAATATTAAAGAGTGCAAGACTTTCATTGCCTCTTATACATCTAGCACTATAAGAGAAGCCATTAGCTGTAGAGCAGTGTTAAAACTGCAAAAGTGCTAGCAACCTATGAAAACCAAAAATATAAATAAAAGTT